TCATGTTCTGAAAATTAGTGATCCGTCATTTCCCTTCATTGTCACTACTGATGTAAATCAGTACGGGATTGACGCAGTCCTTCCACAAAACGATGGTAATGTTATAGACCCATCGAATTTATGTCTGCACGATTACCATCGGAAAAAGTCGTTAACTCCACTTATGAAAGGGAATTGTATGCCTTAGTCTGTGCGCTGGACACATGGAAGCACTACTTGTTAGGGAGACACTTCACTGTGTACTCAGACCACTCGACACTGAAGTGGATAAAGACACAGCCTAGACTCTGTGATAAGCTAGTACGATGGTCTGCATTCATTGCTACTTTTGATTTTGCGTTGAAAACTATCAAAGGTAAGTCTAATGTGGTTGCAAATGCGTTGTCCAGACGATGTGATTCCTTTGGTACTATTGTCTCTTACTTAGATGTTGGGAATGATCTGAAGGATAAAAAATTTGTCAAGGATATGCTACTGACCTTATCTGGAAGCCTATCATGGATGTCCTTGCGAAAGATCAAACTTTACTTCCCAACTATAAAGTAACCGATGATTTGCTTTTCTTGTTAGACCAAAATGAACAGAGATTGTGTATTCCCCATAAGGAAGAAATCAAAAGTCTGCTGATTGGGGAATGTCACGATACTTAGGAACATTTTGGTTTCAATAAAACTTACGCTGAGGTTAGGGAACGTTTTGAGTGGAAGGGATTGAAAGAGGACGTAGTAACTTATGTTCGTACATATCTAGTGTGTTAGAGAAACAAACCTTCGCATGAGAATTCACTTGGTCTTCTAAAACCATTACCGATTCCTAGCGAACCAGGTGAATCCATTTCGATTGATTTTATGAGTCTCACCAGAAGTCGCAATGGCAACAGTCAAGTAATGGTTATTGTGGATCGTTTCTCTAAATTCGCCATGTTTATTCCCTTACATGCAAAAGCGCGAACTGAACTTGTCATTCAAAAGTTCCAGACGTGATGGGTGACGGAGTATGGTTTTTCTGAGTCTATTGTGTCTGATTTCGATGTCAGGTTCACAAGTATGTCATGGCAGTACCTTGTGGAAGCATATGGCACACGATTGACCATGTCGTCAGGACGACATCCTAAAACGAATGGCCAGACTGAACAGATGAACCATTTGTGCCAACAACTTTTGCGCATGTATGTGAGACCCGATCAGATTGATTGGGACAAGAACTTACCCAAGATCGCAAGTGCATATAACAGTAGTATTCATACCGTTACATGGCGTACGCCTAATGCATTGCATAAAGGTTGAAACCTAAGCGTCCCATTGATGTGTTGACAAGGGACCAGTTTCTTAGGTTACCTCCAGGGACCCGAGAATATGCAGTATTGTTTCA